TGGTTTTAGGCACCTACTTGTATGCTTCTAATTAGTTATTTTGGTATTTCCTAAATTTAACAGGTACTCATAGTGGCAAAGTACTTTCCTATTATACATCCCAACACAAGAAAAACTAAATCATCCTCGAGACACAATACAATCTTAAAATTATTAGCTTTAATATTTCCTACCTGTTTAAACAGCAAACCCGTTTATGGGGTGCTGGAGGTCGGATCTGGGGCTTCATGCATACTACACAAGCACTTCAACTGAATCACACACTCAAGCTTCTTTTTCTTTTTCCTGAACATTTCTTTAAAAGATTCTGACTTATAACGTATGTGCACATTTGTTAGTATTTGTGCACTAAAAAAACAAAAAAGCAAACAAACAAAAGATCTCAGCTGGGCATTGGTGATGGACGCCTTTAATCCCAGCACTCAGGAAGCAGAGGCAGGTGGATCTCTGTGAGTTGGAGGCCAGCCTGGTCTACAAGAGCTAGTTCCAGGACTCCAAAGCTACAGAGAAGCCCTATCTTGGGGAAAAAAGTATAATAAAAATTTTGCCAGGCATGACGGCATAAACCTTTAAACCCAGTAGTTGGAAGGCAGAGGCAGATGAAACTCCTTATGTTACCCTGACATACAAAGAGTTCCAGACAAGCCAGCACTACACAGTGAGACTATTTTTAAAAAACATAGGGGCTGGAGAACTGGTTCTGCAGTTAAGAACATTGGCTTCTCTTCCAGAAGACCAAGGTTCAGTTCCCAGTACTCACCTAGCGGCTCACAATTGCCTGTAACTCCAGTTCCAAGATCCTCAACACAGACATACATGCAGTCAATACACCAATGTACATGGAATAAAAATGTTTAAAAAAAATTCAAAAAATAAAATGAAAAAGCTAACAAAATGGATCAGTGGATAAAAATGTACCACACAAACCACTTGTTTGAACCCTGGAACCCAAGTAAAGGTAGAGGATCTATTACAGGAAAGAACTCTGGAGAGGATGATAAATTGAGATTATGACAGACGTGGTGACATACGCCTTTAAATCTCTAGCACTCGGGAGGCGGAGGCTGTCGGATCTCTTTGAGTTCGAGGCCAACCTGGTGTACAAAGTGAATTCCAGGACAGCGAGGGCTGTTACACAGAGAAACCCTCTTCCTAAAAACAAAAATAATTAAATTAAAATAAAAACAAAAGTAGAGACTACTTCAGAGTATGATATTTGCCCATGCTAAAGCAATATACAAAGTCTAATTACCAAAACATACAAAAGATAATTCCTGGGTAAAACACTGACTTTAGTAAGGCGGTGCTTCTTACCTACTGTTTTCCACGGCCTTCATAGCATACTCAACTTGAAAGACTCTTCCATCGGGAGAGAAGGTAGAAGCTGACAGGTCATACTAACAACAAAGAGAGCAACAGTAAGTTTACAGGACATATCCTTGCCAACAAAGCCATACAATTTTTCTAAATAGCTCAAACACCAGGACTGTGTCATATCCTAATGGAGATTGCTTTGAAAAGAAGTATGTTCAGCTGTTGCTCAGGGGAAACTACACACCTTAGATTTCTCCTACTGAAGTGATGGGTCCAAGGAACGAGAAAGATGGCTCAGCTGTTGCATTAGGTGCACCTGTTGCTGTTGCAGGTTTCCAGAACTGACACAGCTGTTTAGAACCACCTGGAATGGCTCCAGGGGATCCAAAGCCCTCTTCTAACCTTCATTGGGCATGTACACATACATATATACATGCAAACAAAACACTCATACACATAAAATATCTTTTAAAAAGTTTAAATAATGGATGCAAATTTTAAGAAGGTCAAAACTTTTTCACACAAGATTCTTTATTAAAGTATTACTGCTGGATGTGGTGGCTCACGCCTTTAATTACAGCACTCAGGAGGCAGAAGCAATACAGTTAGGGCTATTAGAGACCCTGTCTCAAAAAAAAAAAAGACAAACAAGCAAACAAAACAGTATTGTATGGTATAAGCAACACTGAAGTCAGGTCCTTTACAACTGTACCTGAGCCAGGAGCCAAGGAAAGGCCCTGGTTAAAAAAAAATTATTTAGCATTCATCAACATTTAACGAGCATCTACTGCATTGAGTCACTACATGGGACTATAAGACCATCACCCATAAAGTCCTTTTACATTCAAATTAGAGGAATAACAAATCTAGGTGGATCAATGCATTACAAGTTTGATCAAAGTTGGAAAAAAGAAAGATGAAAATAAAATGGAAGGGACATTAGGAATTACCACAGGCTGCCTCTTCAAGGAAAGCCTTGCTAGGACAGTCAGACCTCTAGCCTTAAGGGAGGGATGAGCCTAGTCCAAGCCAAGGACTAGGTGTCTTGTAAGTGGGGGAGGAACAAGCAATGGTGAGAAGATACAAAACATGCTGGAGAGCCAAGCCAGTTAGGGGAGGCAGTGTACATTTTACTCTTGATGCAAAGAGGTGCTGACCTGAGGAGGTGGAATGGCCTATTCAATAACAAAAGTTGTTTGTTTTACATTCACCTATAGTACATGTGCCATGGTGCACATCGAGAGGTCAGGGAACAACATCCCAGAGTCAGTTTTCTCGTCCTACCATGTGGACCCTGAGAATCGAACTCAGCATTTTAGGGATTGAACTCTGGTGTTAAATATCTTTACCCAATGAGGCATTTCACAGGCCCAAATTCTAAGCATTTATCTCCCTGGCTGGAGAGACACTCAGCAGTTAAGAACACCTGCTGCTCTCCCAAAGGACTTGGCTCAATTCTCAGCACCCACACACTGGCTCACAACCGTCTGTAGCTTCAGTTCCACAGGACCTGACACCCTCTTCTGGTGTAAAACAGACAACAGGCACACATGTGATGCAACATACATACAAATAAAACTAAATTTAAAAAAAAAAAAACACTCTGGTTTTGGGTTGAAACAAATTTAGAGGCAAGGTAACAAATGTAGTGTGGAGCTCAGATATTGCAAACAATAGTGGCTTTGACATCACCAGAAAGGAGGAAACCTTTTGAGGACACAAACATAAAAACAAAAATACTTGTCGAGCTTGGGATGGAACTCATCGAGCATGTACTAGGTCTGGGTTCAATCCCTAGGCATGTAAGTACACATATGGGAACACACACGGGGAACTTAACAATAACGTTCAGTGTAAAATAAAAAATCAATTAAAGACAAATGCCAAATTTTGTTTTTCATTTGATCATGAGAATGGACCATTCACTGAGCTGAAGACTACAGGAGACTGTCCAACTAGAGAATTCACAATTCTACCTTAAAAACGATTTCCTGCTTCATGTCTAAATGAGGATGGTGATCAGCACGTGAGGCTGACACAGGAGGACACAGAGCTCTAGGTAGGCCCAGGCTTCATAGTGCGGGTCTGTCTCAAATCCCTCCCACAATAATTTTTTAAAAACTCGAATATGGTTAGAATTTGGAACTCAGTGGCTTGTTTCTTGAAGCCCTGGGCATCAATAAGGGTTTAAAAAAAAATCAAATGGACAGAAATGATCAACAAATATGGTATTTACAACCCTTGGGAGATGTGACGCCAGGAAACAAGCCTTCAACAGTGAAATTTCCTAAGCCTCAGGGTTATAAGTTTCATACTAAAATACTCCCATGGTTATATCGGTTGACTACTGATGGAAAATAATGACTGCAAAGCGAATCTGCTGTGAGATATATTACTGAACACTAATTCCAAAAAAAAATAGTACATGACTAGTTACTTCGTAACAATTAAATCATTCCAAACACCAGTAAGTGATTTAATTATGAGCATCAAAATCTGTGAGGTTTTTTTTTTCTTTGTTTTTGTTTGTTTTGAGACTGGGTCTCTTGACATTGTCCTGCTGTCCAGGAACTCATTATGTAAACAAGGTTGACCTAAAACTCAGAGATCCTACTGACTCTGCCTCCCAAGAGCTGGGATTAAAGCTGTGCCCCACACCAGGCAAGCTTCAGAATCTTGGAGGAAACCAAGATAATCAAGAAATCTATTATTCATAACCTCTACTGCATATAATCAATAGATACTCGTTAAGTAATTTATACATGGGGACAAAGTTAAGAGAGTAAATCTTTCACACGGGGTGTATTTAGCCCCAACAAATTAAGAAGTCCAACCTGCAAATCCTCAATGCCTTTTACAAAAATCTGAGGCACTGATGTCCCTAGATAACCCCTGCCTAAAATACTTTGTTCCGGAAAAGCAGAACAGAGGAGGAAGGCGAAGAACTCAGGAGCTAGAGCCTTCTTCGAGGTTGTCACGACAGGTTTCCAGGGACAGTCTGTGCAGGGACGGGAAGCCAGCGGAGGCCCGTGAGTCAGCAGCACCGCGGCACCGGCGAGCCCCACGACGCGCTCGAGGCTCCACCCGGGGCACTGCCTGCAGCAGGGGCTCGCGGGGTGGGGGGGGACTCTCGAGGGTCTACCCCGGGCCCGAACGCTCGCACAAGGGCTCTAGGGCGGGCCCTAGGGCCGGCCGCTCGAGTGTGCACTTTCGGTTTCCTCCAGCAGCGGAAGAAAGTGACTCAGCAACCCCCGTGGTGGCTGCGCGGGGGTGGCCACACCGGGCCCGAAACGCCGCGCAGGAGCCGGGGTCACCGAGACGAGGGCCCGGGGACGCGACACAGCCGCGGGTCCCCAGGACTCGGGAGGCGCCCGGGGCGCAGCGAGTCGCCGCCCAGCACTCCCTTCAACGCCGAGCCGGGGAAGGCGGCGCAGAGACACTCACCCCGGTCCCAATGGAGCTCATGGTGCCGACCCCGGAGGCCGCGCAGCGATCCCAGGCCTGAAGTGCAGCTTCGACACGGCTCCCTGTGCAGGCCAGTAACAGGCTCGCCCATTGGCTGCGCTCTCCACCAATGGCCTTTCGCTTTGAGGATCGTTCCGCGAGCTGCGTAGAGGATTGCAGGTAAAGGAGAAGGCGAGCAGGAGGCTCGCGCGTGCGCAGAAGCCAGAGAGGCGGCTCCTTGGAGAAGCTGGTAATACTGTAACTGTAATTGTTACTGGAAGCGTAAAGGTCAGAGCCTGGTCCCTAATAGTCCCAAGGCTTGCGCACCTGTCCTCAGGAGCCCAGTTACACAGACAAGAGTACCTCAAAGCCGGAGTAGGAGATATATTCAAACGTGGCCACTTTAGAAAGAGAAACAAAAAGGCACAGTGACTATCCCCAGTTCATCTTCAGAGTCCTGACATGACATTTGGGTTTAAATAGGAACAAGTGGTATGTATGCATAACTAAGTAGCCCTGGCCGAGATATGATCGCTTTCCATCATGGTTTCATCTTTAACCTCTCCTGTGATGTGGTCTGTCAAGATGTGAAATCTGTTTGTGAGAGAAAAGTTGTCCCTCTGGCTGGAACCATGCGTCAGCCTTTTGCTTCCCCAGCATGGAATCCCTGGAGAAGTTTCAGTTTCGTGGAGTCTTATTAGAGAGAGGTGCACAAGTGTTTCTTTAAAAGATCTTCATTCCTACCAGGAAGATTACAGAACTACATTAGAAAAGGCTAAAGAGCCGGGCGGTGATAGTGCTTGCTTTTAGTCCCAGCGCTCGGGAGGCAGAGGAAGCTGAATCTCTATGTAGGCCAGCTTGGTTTACAGAGTGAGTTTCAGGACATTTAGGGTTACACAGAGAAGTCTCGAAAAAGAAAAGAAAAGGTTAGAGAGCCTTGGGAACTCCAAGTGCCAGGCTCCTTCTAGGAACTGTCAGGTTAATATAGCCTATCTTAAGAACTAAAGGGCAGAGGGGCAACAGATAAATCAGAGCAGTGGGCATGGGACCTGACCTTGTAGCCGTTGGATTTTTAAATCCGTTTGTAAATAAAATGGCAGAAGCATGTTTTAAAATCCTGGAGACTTTTATTTTATGTAGCCAGAAAACATTTTCCCGCATGGTGATGCAGGTCTATAATCCTGATTTTCAGAAGGCTGCAATGAGAGGATCCATAGCCAGTTTGGAATACAAGAGGCCCTGTCTAAAAACAAAACAAAAACGAAAAACCATCATCGTCAAACAAAACGCATTGAGAGAGAGAGAGAGAGAATGCTCTATCAGTCGGCTTATTTTGGTTTGTTGTTTTGTCACAGTAGAGTTCAAGTAATAGAGACTGGCCAAAGATAACCTTGAATTCCTGATGCTTTCTGCCACCTCCTATCAAAAGCTGGAATCATAGCCCTGGTCCATCACACCAAGTCTCAGTAATGTTTTTCATAAGCAAAGACAATCCAACAGTACACATTGCTTTAAATTGTGTTTCAGCCTCCTTACGTATGGGAAAAAGGTTGTATAGCTATTAACTTTCCATGACATTGACGCCTTTTTGTTGTTGGTGGTAGTTTCTGGTTTTTCAAGACAGGGTTACTCTGTTTAACCCTCCTGACTGTCCTGGAACGCGCTTTGTAGACCGCACTGGCTTCAAACTTACTAAGATCTGCCTCTCTTTGTCTGGGATTAAGTGCTGGGATTAAGGCCACCACCACCACTCGGCATTTTTTTTCTGTATTGTTTGTTTGCTTTATTATTATTATTATTATTGCTGTTGTTGTTTTGTATCAACGTCTTTAAAAAAGGTATTTGTTTTTATTATTTTAAATTACATGCATGGGGTGGGAGTAGGGGAATGCAGATGCCTGCAGAGACCAGAAGAGGTTGTGAGCCTCTTGACTTGGTTGCTGGGAACAAAACTCAGTTTCTTTGGTTCAATTTTTAAAATTATCTCATTTCTGTGTAGTTGATACATGAAAGGATAACAGCAGCACGACAGGGAAGCTACCGTAGTCTGTGTCGTAGATACACGGAAGGATAACGGGAGCACGTGGGATAGCTACCGTAGTCTGTGTAGTAGATACACGGAAGGATAACAGGAGCACGGTGGGATAGCTACCGTAGCTTTGTGGACACTCAGTTATGAAGAGTGATTTGAATATCGTGGTAGCAATGACATAAAGTGTGTGAAAGGATTTTAGATATGTAGGCTTTGTTGGATAGCTGGATGCAGAAAATAAGGGGACAGAGGAAAATCAGTTGTTCTTCCTACTAATAAAACTTTGTGAATAATGACTAGGCTTTATTCTTTAACAAATAGTTAAGTAAAAGATTTGGATTCACTAGGAGACAGTCACTTGACCTAATTCTGATTAAAGCATTCCAATTGTTGTTTAGTGTGGTGGCATGGGCTTCTAATTTAGGAATTTGGAAGACTGAGGCATGAAGATCTCTCTGTTTCAGGTCAGCCTTGATTATATAACAAAATTTGGGGGGAAAAAATGAAGAAAGAAACAAAGAAGAAAAATAGCCGGATGATGTTAATGCACATCTTTAATCCCAGCACTCGGGAGGCAGAGGCAGGCAGATCTCTGTGAACTTGAGGCCAGCCTGGTCTACAGAGCAAGTTCCAGGATAGCCAGGCTGTCTGAAAAAGGCTATTTTTTCACGGGAGGGTTCACCTTGAAGATAAACTGCAGGTAAGTAGTACAAATTTCAAAGATCTGGTTAAACATTCACATCATTTACTACCTTTGTGCAATTTGTGGTATTTGAGAGCTTAATGCACTGGCTGCGTCAGTAACTGAGAATGGGGGCCTCTTCCTTCTGGCTAACCTGCTCAGAAACCTGATTGTTGATTTAACTTCTATCTCGAGGAAGGAAATGAACTTAAATTTTGGGTCCTTGAGTGTTTGTGTGATTCTTTACAAGATTTAAATGTGTTTGCTTTTTTGTTTTTGGTTGGTTTTTTCTTTTTTCCGAGACAGGGTTTTTCAGTAGTTTTGGAATACCTCTTGTAGACCAAGCTGGCCTCAAACTCACAGAAATCCCCCTGTCTCAGCCTCCCGAATGCTGGGATTAAAGGCATACACCACCACGGCTTGGTAAATGTGTTTGTTTTTAAAAAGTTATTTCAAATTACTTCAACAAGTAGTACCTATGGAATTGGTAAGCTTTTATACTTTTTTTGTTATAAAATGATGAACTTTCGAAACTGAATACCTAACAGTACTTTGCAAATAGAAGATACATGATTTTAACAAATCATAATAATGATGGTTTTATAATAATAACTAACATTTATCAAAATGGTTATATTTCATGTAAATTTATCTATCATAAAAGTAAGTAATAGCTTTTCTTTTGAGACAGGGTCTCAATGTGCAACCCTAACTGCCCTAAAATTTACATTTAAACCAGGCTGGTTTTTAATGGTCAGTAACTAAAGAGTCATGAATTCTGGTGCCCTCTCCTGGTGCGCAGCCGTAAATGCAGACAAAATACCATATACGTAAAATAACATTTTTTGGAAGACTCTAAACCTTTTAAAAGACTGTCTCTATATGTTATTTATGTGTTTTATAGGATTCTTTACTAGTCCCAGGTTTATTATATCTTAAAAAAAGAAAGACTATTTGGGCATTCCTTAATTTAAGTTTACCCGCGTTTTTTTTTTTGTTTTTTTTTTTCAATTAGGCTTTAACTTGCGATTCCGAGCGACAGGATTAGCCGCCACCCCACACAGACACACATCACAGAAAAGTGTAAAAGCCCTTGCCTAGAGAAATTCACCAGGAGCTCAGAATTTGTATGCGTTCACAAGCGACTATTCCATCTTCTTTGGTGGTCATAATGAGATTAGGAACGTGTTCTCATTTTACCGTTAGAATTTAACAACTTTCCCTCTCTCCTCTATTCCTCCTTTTTTGTTGTTGTTGTTCGGGACTTCCTCCCCCCCTTTATTTTACCATTTTTTTCCTCTTGGAGAATTTGCACTCTTACTTTTAGGTTCCGAGAACCTAAAATATAGTGCTTTTCTATTAGTTTATTATCAATTTATTGGTTATATTTTTCTTTTCAGAGACCGAAAATAATGAAAGTGTAAAAAGCAAATGTCGTTGTACACTTCTCAAAAGGTAGAAAAACAGAGAATGTCTCCGCCTGCCCGGCTAGCTCAGTCGGTAGAGCATGGGACTCTTAATCCCAGGGTCGTGGGTTCGAGCCCCACGTTGGGCGGCGCTCATTTTTGTCTGAGCGAGCAATCAAATTTAGTCTCAAATATTTATGAGTCTTTAAAAAACGTTTTTTACTAGTAAGGATTCCTAAACTGGGGTAATTAAAATGCTTTCAATAGTAATCGTCTCTTAAAACGCCGTTCTCACACTGCGCTTGCGCACTCCAATTCCAGCTCCACGCCCATGGCTCGGGTTTAAACCAGCAGCAGAAACTTAGAACATACTTTTTTTCCAGTAAGCACAGACTGCTTTTCCTGTGTCAGCTTTCATAGTTGCTAGTAACGGACAATTTCTTTTTTCCTAATAAAACTGTGATTCCTGATTTTGTCTGTTTTGAAAACACAGGACATCTGGTAGGTGCGGCATGGCAGCGGAAGAACTAACTTCCCGATTTGCGAGCGTTCCCCAAGTCACCCCGCTTTCCTCCAGTCTGTTGCAGGGCTTCTTCGGGGGTGCGGGAGAGAGAGGCCCCGAGCGCTGTCTTCCCCGCGGTCCGATGTGCACCGCCGCGCGCATTCTTTCTGGGGCTGTGTGGAGCCTTCAGCGCTGCCCTCAGACTCAACCAGGGAACCGATGTGAGCACGGCAGCCCAGCGGGAGAGAAGCAGACAGCGTGGGCTCCCGGGAAAGGGGCCGCCGACCCTGGAGAGGCCCTGCCTCCGCCCGCCGGCCTCCCTCTCCTAGAGCAACGAATTTCTTTTTCTTTATTGTTTTAACTGATAATTATTGAGCTCTACATTTTTCTCTGCTCCCCTCCCTGCCTCTTCCCTCCCCACTCCAACCCTCCCCCAAGGTCCCCATTCTCCCAATTTACTCAGGAGATCTTGTCTTTTTCTACTTCCCATGTAGATTAGATCTATGTAAGTCTCTCTTAGTGTCTTCATTGTTGTCTAAGTTCTCTGGGATTGTGGTTTGTAGGCTGTTGTATTTTTTGTTTGTTTGTTTTTTGCTTTATGTTTAAAAACCACCTATGAGTGAGTACATGTGATAATTGTCTTTCTGTGTCTGGGTTGCCTCACTCAAAATAATGTTTTCTAGCTCCATTGAGCAATGATTTCTTTAAGGGCCTTCCCTTCCCTTCGGTGTGCGAAGCCACTTGTCTTAAACATCTCATCTCTCCCAGAGTCTCTGTAGCTCTGGAACTCTGTAGACCAGGCTGGCCTTGCACTACAAACATGTGCCTGTCTCCCGAATGGGTACGCGAGCGTCACTCCAGTCGTTAAGCAGTCCACCTCGGCGCCGGGTGTGGCGGCACACCCTGTAATCTTAGCACAAGTGAGACAGGAGGATGGCTCGCTGCAAATTGGAAGTCAGACTGGGCTTAGAATCAAAAGAAAGAAAAAGGAAAAAAAAAAAAAAAGTGGGTGGGGTGGGGTCATTTTCTTATTTCTATGAAGGACAGCTGGAAGGAAGGACAAAGTTACAACTGATAAACAGACAACTGGCAAGAAAAGGGAATTGGTATTTTGGGTTGGACAGACCAGCCTGCTGTGTGAGAAAGGGGCAAAAACAATTTAGCTAAAAGCGCTCATCAGTCAGTTAATGCTCTGGGGCTTGGATCTCTCACCTTTACCGGGGTGGGGTCTGCTTTCCGCCCTTCCCAGCCAATTCTAGTCAGGCTTTTACAGTCTTTTCATGCTCCCAACAGGCAGTCAAACTGCTCATTAAACTGCCATCATCTCTGCGTTACCAAACCTATTAGCTAATTGTCATGCCTAATCCATTGGCCTATCAGAAACATTACAAACCTGGATCACTTCAGCCTGCCCCCCCACCCAACTTCCAGCACGTAGATGTTCTCCTGATACCTTCTCGGGTCATTTCCTCTCCTGTCTCCAAACTGGGGAGTGCCTCATGGATGAGTTCATGTTCCCCCTTGCTAAATGTGCAGCACATCCCCACCTCTGTAACATCTAATAGTACTTCCCAGGGCCTCGTCCTGGAGAACCGTCTTTATCTAGGATGCAATCACTCAGGGCCTGCAGGTGGGTTCTGTGGAAGCGACTCTTCTTAGATCATCTTGTTGGGGTTGCTGTGTACAGTTCCCATTGTAAACTAGACACTATTTCTGACCAGAGTTTTAAAAGAAGCAGCATTAAGCCCAGCCTTATACTGGCCTTCTCATATACTCATCTGCCCACACTCCCACGGTGGGCTCAAGTTTATAGCTTTTTGTTCAGCAGTCTTCACTTTATATGATAGTCCAGTTCTCTTTCTTAAATATGATAAATTAAAAAAAAAATGGAGACAAGGTCTCATTGTCCCCCTGGCTGGCCTGGAATTTGGTATGTCCCCCTCTTGCCTCTGCATCCTGAGCTGCTGGGATAAGAGACGTGCTGCACCATGGCTGGCAAGAAATTATTTTTTGAGTTAGGGTTTCTCTGTATAGCTCAGGCTTAACTTGTGGCAATCCTCATGCCTCAGTCTCCCAACCGCATGAATGACAACTCTAAATGTCAAACCAGCCAGCTATCTAGTTAGCCCCAGACTCACTATGTAACCCAGGCTGACCTCAAACTCAAATCCTCCTGCCTCAGCCTCCCTATTGCTGAAATTATACATGTACTACTTTGCCCAGCTGAAACTTGTGATGCCTAAAAACTTGTTTCTCTGGCAGTTTTCCTGTTCTTTGTGGTAATACTGTTTTTCTAGTTATCTGGGCCACACCCTTGGCGTCATCAGTGATAATTCTCTCTCCAACTCCTTAACGAAAGCGCCCTTCAGTGAAAGCGCCATTCAGTGAATCAGGCAGGCCCTGATTCTACACTACCTCCCTACAACCCCGGCCCTGATTTAGGCATGGCCATGTGTAAGGAGAGAGCTTTCAGAGCATTGCAGCTGGCTTGGTTCTCAGTGTTAGCACCTGGACCTTTGAGATGTCCTTTGTCAAATGTTACCATTTGTGTTGGCTATCTTCTGTTTGAAGCATGGAAATCTTATCTGAGTGCTTCCTAAAAGGTTCAAAGCCTATGCAAAACGTGGTTGTGGAAGGACTCAGGAAACTGAGAAGTTCTGTGACTGGAAATTGCTTTGGCATTTGTCTCTTTTTGAGAGCTTCAGATAAGAGCTTTTAGTATGTGGAAACTGACTGGCTAAGGTGTAAATTGTGTAACAAAAAAGCCTTTACAAAGTTAGTCAGTTCCTTAGAAGCTGAGTCCCCTATGGCTGCAAAGGCTAAAAAAACAGGTGACCCTGTTTCTGCCACCGACCTGTGTGAAACTGAGCATCAGTAAACATCAGTGAAAACCAGCGCACACACCACAGCCATGTGACTAACCTTGGCTAAGAAGACATCGGAAAGCATGATACAAAGTTATCAGTGAGTACTTATACATGCAGCCCGGGAGGACCCCAAATAAGTAAGTAGTCCGAGTTCCCTGAGACCACCACACACCCTGTGGGGCAGCTACAGGAGTCAGAGCACGCTGGGAAGGAAGGAAGCATGAAGGTCACTAGGCCTCCACACTTACGAGCAGCCCAGTATCTTCCACTTCAGAACATCAACCAAACACGAGTGACTATTCTCAGCTAGATACAAGTGAAGAGAACTTCTAAGTTTGTCTGAATTTCTAACTCACAGAACCACAAGCAAATAAGCCATGAGGTTTGGGTCAGGCGGCGGTGGAGCACACCTTTAATCCCAGCACGCAGGAGGTACTAAATGCTAAGACTTCAGCTTGTCTATTTGGAGGACACAATTTGGCCTAAGATTAGCCAGTCAGTCCTTAACCTGTCACTTGGGATTTGATACTTTATACTAGTTATATAAAGCTTTAGAGCAATCAGATTTTGTTTTCTAAATTAAATGATGAAATTTTTTATTTTTTAAAAAATAATCAACCTCAACAAGATAAAGACAGTACGAAAGCAGAGTGAAGGATTTTTTTGTGTCAGAATCTCTCTACAACTCAAGTTGGTCTTGAACTCCTGGGCTCGGGAGATCCTGCCTCTGGAGGGTCAGGTAGTTGTGTGCCAGCATGTCCAACTGGCATGCTGGATTTAAAAAAAAAAAAAATGCAGCATGAGGATTTGAAAAGAAAAATTCCCTGCAGAAAGAGCTGTCAGTGAAACAGTGAACCCTGGTGAGTTTGAACAGTTAAAAAGAATCTGAAATAACTGGGAAAGGCTAATATTCACGGACTGAATTAATTGCTAAAAATAGAGTAATTTCTATGCAAGACATATTATGTGAGCTGTGGAGGAAACTGAACTACATAATAAACTTCCAAAATCAAACAGCTTAGCTATGTTTATTGATATAAATACAACGTATTGCACAGGCATCCACTATGTTACCATATTACACAAGAGACAAAATGAGATCAATATTAATGCAAAGAGAAAACACAGAAATGCTTTGTTACATAAAAGTCACCTATATATATATTAAAGCATCCTACATACTTTGTACAGTTTATTACTAATTAAGTATTTGAAATAAAGCAAGGCTGAATTTATTCAGACTTTTATTTCTCGGTGGAAAATGCTCTTTTCATCAGTGGTGGCTGCGTCTTCCCAACATCAAACATCATTTCCAAAGGTGGGTTGTTGAGAGAGCACCAGTCAGGTATGCGGCCCGTCTGATTATAATATTCCTTTGAAACGGATCGGCTCCCAAGAATATCTTGCAATGCTCCAAAAACAGCCCCTGTGCAGTGAGAATACTTTTATAGCTAAGATGATATACCAGAGAACTGTAAGCTGCACACATCATGTTATGAAAAGGGGCCGGTAAATCCAGCAGTGCCAGTCACATTCTCCATTCTGGTTCAGTGGAGTTCTGAACAATAGGATCAGCCATGGCTCCTATGCTGAAAGTCCCTTAAACGACCCTCTGCAGCTCACAGTGAGTATGGAACTACAAAATCTACAACACAGTAGAATGAGGTGGAAGGACTGTCAACTTTAGGGAAGACTCGAGCTTTCTTGGTCACGACTGTTACATGTCTTTAGATAAAACTGCAAAGTCCAATAGGCATGATTTAAGCCTTAAGATGTTTTGCATTCTTTTAAAAATATAATTTATTTAACTTTTTATTTTATGTGCAACGGTGAGAAGGTGTCTGGAGTTACAGACAGTTGTAAGGTGCCACCATCTGGAAGAGCAGCCAGTGCCCCCAACTGCTGGCACTGAGTCCTTTCTCCAGCCCCAAGTCTTAAGATTTAAACTGGAAAAAAATTTTTTTTTTTTTTTTTGAGACAGGGTTTCTATGTATAACAATCCTGGCTGTCATGGAACTCTTTGTAGACCACGCTGGTCTTAAACTCACAGGGATCCGCTTGCCTCTGCCTCCCAAGTGCTGGGGTTATGGGTGCGCACCACCACCAGCTGGCATGAAAAATCTTAAAAAGATACACAAAGCAATTTTTATAAAAAACAATTAAGCTTCTAAATCTAATCCTAGATGAAAAATCAAAATTGACCAAATTCTACCATACAAGAAATAGTACTGCATTCATCTAAAAATCCTATTATTTATTTTTTCTAAATGCATGATCCTGACACTGACTCTATCATGAAATACACAATGTATGATGTATACATCTGTGGCTGTTTCCCTAGGTAGCTACTTATTAGACTACATGCTTCTCCAGTGGTAATTCATTCCTTAGAGCATTCAATGAGCTCCACCACAAGGCAAGGGTAGAGCAAAAACCAATGCTTCCAGTAACAGCAATTACTCTGGAACAAAGCTGCTGTTGTTGCTATTCTGAGGGATGACTTCAAATGCATGGAGGTTACTTATTATTTGAGACAGGGTTGTACTCTGT